TTAATATACACTTCATAGATTTTTATTTCTTTTTTGCATATATTGCAAGTAAATACTAATGTATAAATTATATTTCCTAATTGTGATCTCAAGAATAGTATTAGGAAAACGGTGGACAATATCAAAAATATGACTACACAAAAACACTTTTTTCTAGTTGCCAAAACAAGACACTATGTCACCAGGGCGCAGTAATTATCAAAATATTTCACGAACGTTTTTTAATAGATTTGCTACTCCTAGATATTCACATAATTTAGGGTAATCGAACACGCCTATGATTCTGTCTTGTTTTATATTTTTAACAGTGATAAAGTCAATTGCCCGATCATATATGTGGTTATATTTATCTGGATTGCATAGTGGTATGTACTGTGTGGGGCAAGTAATAAACTTATCCATTGCTTTGCGCTGATTATTTTTCGATTTCTTAGCTATTACTACTTAGCTTTGTCTGATTTAATTAATCTCTTTTTTTTCTCTAGCTATTCTTTTTTAATATTTATATTAACAGAGAATAACATTATTCAAATTTATATAGGTCCATCATTGAAATTATGAATTAGCCGAGTCATTTTTTTCCTTCTGCTTCTGCCTCATCTCTATTTCCTTCTGTAGATTTAATGGAATGTCAAACCTTAGTCGAATTGCAAGAGGATCATTCTCTGGCCTACTGAAATCAAATACAACAAACTCACCTTTGCGGAGGTAGCTATTAATAACCATAGATGCACTCTTTATATTATCAGTATATCATCTAACAATTTTGGAAATATCGTGAGCGCTACTACTGCCATTAAATATCACTAAATGGGAGACATTTTCTCGAATAATAATAGAAACTTTATGATAACATTGTATTACATAAATAGGTGAAATGTTCCTGTGGTGCCCGTGAGTAAAGAAAGGGATAATTTGATTTTGTATATACTCTGGGGCAACACACAAATCCTTAAAAATAATAGCAGTGCTCTTTTCTGATGAGAATGATTTCATATTTGGAATCCTTTCAGGAGGAATATAGCTAAACCAAATATTCTTATAATATGGCGCTCTTGGATCTTTTGAAATTACGCTATACATATATCTTACAAATACCCATTTTGGTTCATCAGGATGGTAACCACATACTATCAAATCATCACATCTAATATAACTTGTTCCCTTTTCCATCCTTTGTATATATGTTCACTCTTATCTTCTAAGAACAAATTTGCTAGTAAATTGCTCTTACCTGTACCACTTCTTCTGCTGACTATCTTGCTAAAAGGCCATATTATTGCTGGATGTCCGACATTTCTGGATGATTTATGCTTTGTGGCCTCATCCATATCCATAAGGTAAAGTTTCATAGGGGGCAGTCTAGTTGTCTTTTGGTTCTTTTGCATGACGGTTCAGAAAACTATAACTTTGATTTCTATAAACTGGATAAAAAATTTCTTTCTTTTTGATTGGACGAAAAAATTGCCTGTATATATACTATATAATTAATATTATCACTAAAGATAAAATAACAAGCTTGAATATAGGCGGAATTATATACTGATCATTAACTAAAGCATTACCAACCCCTAATGTAACAATAGGTAAGGCTTGAATATTATCGAGTTTCTCTTTCTGCTTATTGTAGACATGGTCTATGGGAGGCTCCACCACATCTTTTACTTTGCTTTTATCAGGTTCAGGCTCTGAGTGGTGTGAAGAAAAAGAGGGTGTTTTAGAGAAACCGGATATCTCTTCTACTGCATCGCCACCTGTTTTTAAATCATTAGATGATGAATCTGGTTTTAGAGAGATCTGTTCTAGTTCATCTTTCAGATCACTTACCCTAGATTGGAGACAGAAAATTAATCCATCCCTAAATGATAAATTTTGCATAACTTGCTCTAGTTCATTTTTCAATTTCTTCACCTTAATCTCATAAAGTGACAGGGTAGTATCGGTATTCTTTAATAAAGCTTTTTGTGCTATTTGTTCTAACTCAGCCTCCAATTCATTTATTCTAGCCTCAAAAGAGATAATTTCAAAATCCTTCAAATTAATCTCAGACTTTAGTGATTCTATTTCTTTTAACTGCTTGGTATTAAGATTAGCACGAGACTTTTGTTCGCAAGTAATTTGGGAGCCAAGCTTATTATTTAAATCATTTAGCTGTTTAGTTAGGGAGATAATTTGATTTATAGAATTTTGCATATGCTCATTTTCTTCATGCAAGTAATCCAAATCATTTTGTATATGCTCATTTTCTTTATGCGAGTGATCTAGATCATTTTGCATCTGCTTATTTTCTTTATTTAAGATATAATATTTAGTTATAAGCTGTTTAGCAGATTTTATAAACATTTTACGATCTTTTTTTTGCTATTCTTCAAGCTCTAGATACTAGGCAGATATCAATTAGATAGAGGGCTTCCAAGTTTACTACCACCACTATTACCTACATCATTCAAGATATAGATTTGAGATATAGTTTTTTTTTTATTCCAGAAATATAGATAGAAAAAATAAAAATATTTTTGAAATATATTTTTTTTATATTTCCAAAACGATATATTTATTCTAATTATCCCAAAAAATCTTTTTCGAATTAATGTATTTATTCTAATTACTATATTAAATTATTTTTAAAATAATACATTTATTCTAATTATTCTATTAAATTATTTTGAAATAATACATTTTTTTCTAAATATTAAAAAGACTACACTTATCTTATTTATCTCAAAAAATATATCGAAAAATACAAGCAAATCCTATTATAGACAAACATCAGCTAGAAGAGCTGAGACGATTTTTATTTAGTAGTATTGTGAGTACATGAAAATATAGGAAGAATAGCTAGAGATTAATAGCGCTGAAACAATGAACATCCTGAGAGTTAGCAACCAATATTGCGCTGAGAGTCACTGTAACAGAGCAGGTAGGAATTAGATAGATAGATTATCAGCCGGTGGTTTTTTGCCTGCCGCAGCAAGCTGGCTGTTAAATGACAGAATCAGGTGACTAGTCTCAAGGAGGGATGGGTGGGGCAGAAATTTAATAGAGGTTAAATTGGCTACGAATTAGAATTCGTATTTTACTATGACTTGAAGCCTATATTTATATAGTGATGTGTTCTATAGCATGACGTTATTGATAGTTACATTGATGGGTCGGTCCGTTTGCCTGATGCCTTCTCTGATTCTGGCACATGATCTGATTGGGTCATGGCGGTCATGTGATAGCTGATAATAGAGTATTGCTTAGTTTTTCGAATAGTTGACTCTGTATCAACTTATACAAAAAATACAAGCAAACCCTATTATAGGCAAACATCAGCTAGAAGAGCTGAGCCGATTTTTATTTAGTAGTATTGTGAGTACATGAAAATGTAGGAATAATAGCTAGAGATTAATAGCGTTGAAACAATGAACATCCCAAGAGTTAGCAACCGATATTGCGCTGAGAGTTACTGTAACAGAGCAGGTAGGAATTAGATAGATAGATTATCAGCCGGTGGTTTCCTGCCTGCCGCAGCAAGCTGGCTGTTAAATAACAGAATCAGGTGACTAGTCTCGAGAAGGGATGGGTAGAGCAGAAATTTAATAGAGGTTAAATTGGCTACGAATTAGAATTCGTATTTTACTATGACTTGGAGCTTGTATTTATATAGTGATGTGTTCTATAGCATGACGTTATTGATAGTTACATTGATGGGTCGGTCCGTTTGCCTGATGCCTTCTCTGATTCTGACACATGATCTGATTGGGTCATAGCGGTCATGTGATAGCTGATAATAGAGTATTGCTTAGTTTTTCGAATAGTTGACTCTGTGTCAACTTATACAAAAAACACAAGCAAACCCTATTATGGGCAAACATCAGCTAGAAGAGCTGAGACGATTTTTATTTAGTAGTATTGTGAGTATATGAAAATGTAGAAATAATAGCTAGAGATTAATAGTGCTAAAACAATGAACATCCCGAGAGTTAGCAACCGATATTGCACTAAGAGTCACTGTAACAGAGCAGGTAGGAATTAGATAGATAGATTATTAGCCGGTAGTTTCCCACCTGCTGCAGCAAGCCGGCTGTTAAATAACAAAATCAGGTGACTATTCCAAGCTGGTAGGAAAAGTCTGTTATGGTGTAGCTGGCGTGCAAGGTCTATGCTTGGGTACTAGAACCCAGTTGTATCTGTAACTTTGGAGATTGAATATATGTGAAACGTGTTACCGTCATAATTAATA